CCGGGCGCACGGAGCCGGCCCGCGCTGCGGCGAGAGCGCCGCCTGAGCGAGGGCTCCGCGGGGCTTCAGGGTCTCGGGAACCCTGGGGGGAGCCCTGCCGCCACCTCTGGGAAGGACGGGAGCCCCGCGTGGCGGACACTGCAGCATACGCGGGACTGAAGCCTCGTCCGGCGGCACGTTGGGCGCTCTTGGCCCTCGGCGCCTTGCCCGGTGCGCGGCGACTGGCGCACCGCGGGAACCAGAGCCGGGCTGGCTAGAGGGGCGTGTGTGTGCGCGTGTTCGATTGGAGATTCGGCCAGAGCAGGACCGGGCGGACCTCAGCAGCCATGCTTCCTGGGGTGGGCGTGTTCGGCACCAGCCTCACGGCCCGTGTCATCATCCCGCTGCTGAAAGACGAAGGGTTCGCAGTGAAGGCGCTGTGGGGTCGCACGCAGGAAGAAGCAGAGGAGTTGGCCAAGGAGATGAGCGTCCCCTTCTATACCAGCCGCATCGACGAGGTGCTGCTGCACCAGGACGTGGACTTGGTGTGCATCAACCTGCCACCGCCCCTTACCAGACAAATCGCTGTCAAAACCCTGGGTGAGTGACCCCCCACCCCGCACCCCGCCTCCTCTGCAACCTTCTCTCCTTCCTTTCTACAGTATCCCAGAAGCTTACCCAGCACCTGCTCTGACTAAGGGACCCAGGATCCACATCCCACTTAGAGCTCCTTCTGCATCATTGGCCTTTCCCACTTCTGCGCTTTTCTCTTTTTTGCATCACCTGGACACGCTTCCCCACGCGTTCGGCGCGGAGGCTGGGGGAGGCGTGCGCTCCTGGGTTGGGAGCCAGACGGATCAGATGCTGAGGATTGAAGAGGGGCTGCTCTGAGCAAGTCCGCAGCTGTGTGTGTTCTGCCTGTGTGTGCGTGCATGCGCGCCTGCGGGTGCGCGCCTAGGTCCTCTGAATAAAGGGCCCCACGCGAGGCTTGGTTTTTCCCGGGGGAGAGAGGCTACCTGACATTTAGCAGCTGTGGCTCCCTGGGAGAATAGTTTGTTTCTTTCCTCTGTGACTTAGTTGAGTATAAAATTAGAGATGTGACAAGTTGATTGCTGGAGTTACTTCATTTTCGCTGAAAGCAAGGATGGCAGGAGTGGGTGGAAGGGACGGGTTGGGGGCAGGGGCGGGATCTGTTGGGTCATTGCAGGGAGTCGTGGGTTAGCTAAAACTGGTTCGAAAAACTCAGAGAAATTTAACTTTCCAGTGAGCAATTCAGGAACTATCTTCTGTGCAGACTTGGAGGAATAGATCTTAAATTTTTAGCGAATGGGCCCAGTAGTTCCAGAGATGCAGACGCTTTGTGTGGGAAAACCCCCAATATTGCCAGTTTCACTTGGAAGACTGAGATGGTTCTTCATCCCATGAAGAATCCCCAACGCCCCATGAGTGGCGTTGACAAGTTTGTTGGGGGTGAGCTCACCAGCCCTTACCATCGGGTCCTGCATCTCATTCAGTCTGATAATCTTAGAGGAGCAGTATCAGTGTCTCTGCTGTGTTTAGGGGAAGAAGAATGGTTTGTCCATCAGCAGTTCTCACGGAATGCCAGAAAGATAACTCACTGTACTTTTGGGAGAAATATGTCGCCCATCCTTGAAAGTTGGAGATTTTATTGGTGGGGAAAGAAACAAAACTTAGGGCATAGGATGGTACATCAGAGATGAGCTAGAAGGGGAGAATGGGAAGGGACAGAACGGCACCCAAAAACTAATGCCAGTTTATGTAATCTTTGGAAAGAATGTTTTATTTTCAAAACCAGGTATGGATTCAGGGTAGGTGAAATGTACATGCGTATTAATTTTATCTTCAAAGACCTATGACCAGGATGGTGGGCCCTTTTTTCCCTGGAAAACCAGTTTTGAATCTGGCCATTCTTCTCTTTACTCAGAATGGACACCTGATAGAATTTTTATGGAGGCTGCCCAAGGCTGTTAAGTTTCACATTCAGTCTGTTAAGCTTTGGCCTTTGTTGCCTGGTTTCTTTGGCCTTGAATTGAATGTCACTAGGATCTTTCCCCTTATTTCCTATCTGTTTGAGCTAACATATGTGAGGTAGCTGAGCTCGCACTAACAGTGGATCTGTGCAGATCAGCTAGAGCAGAACTCTCCCACAGCCAACATCTATTAGGGCAATTTATTTAAAACAGGTCCCAGGAAGGGTTGTGACAGATCATATGGAAGAGCTGGCTGTAACATCATTGCTCCCTTCTAAGGCAGCACAACTTTACAATACTATCAATTCCAGATCCTGTTTCAGGAAAGTGGGAATTTGGGGGACAAGAATGTTCCAGTTTTTTGTTACTTTAGCAATGAAAAAGTACTTGAGGATTCTAACTTTGAGAGAAGTGGTACAAATTGTACATCTGGATAGTTCTGTTCTTATTTTCAAAAATTCACTGACGTTTTTTCCCTTGGCTCTTCAAAAGTGCCAGAGACATAAGAAATAGACCTAATAGCCAAGACTAGCGGATAGTTTTTGTTCATGTTTTTGTTGTAGGTCCTGGGCTTTTAGTCTTTTTACACAAGGCTATACAGGGAATTTAAGGTGTTTTGTGTTGGTTTTTTTTTTTTTAGAAAATGTGGAGACATTGGATTTAGGTGTGGCTGTGCTTTGGTCTTGTTTCAGACTTTATCTTCACTGGAAAATCCCTGGACCTGCTGTCCTTTGCATTGTGTCTGTAAGTACACAGCAGCAGAGCGGTCCTGGTTTGCTTTTCTGTTCAACAAATACACAACACAGGAAGTGAAAAACCCCAAACAGTTATTGGGCTAGTCTGGCCTCTGAGGGTATAGAGACTATATGTTTGCTTGGAATCCAAATAAGCCAGGCTTGATAGTGCTGGTGAATTGTCCTTCTTTAACGAAGGGCTGAGTGTGGAGTTGTGTGCTCAGTGATGGGGACCACTCTGTTGCCCTCAGGTCCTACCTGGACTGGCCAAAGGACTGGCAAGATGAGTGGCTGGTCTAGAGATCATAGAGCAATGAGATGTGGAATCAGTTGAATCTCACACATCCTCCTTTAATTTATAAAAATTTCCATGACGCCCCTAATTTGGTAAACTAGGCATCTCTCTCTTGTAGGCTCTTTTCTATGGTGTAAAATTCCTATAGTGCCCAGTGCTACCTCTTGTTAAACAGCTACAGTGTGTCAGGCAATATGGTAGGTGCTGAGTATAAAATATTTCAGGATGAAAGTTCTTATGATAGATATTAGCCCCATTTAACAGATGAAGGCAACTAAAATTCAGAGATCTGATGATGATAAGACTGCCTGTATTGCTGATAATCCAGTTGCTCAGGGATATCCAGCTAGACTCCATCTTTTCCTCTCCCCATTGTCATTTTTTCCTTGTTCTTCCCCAACTTGTCCTCAGGTCATTCCTCAGAAAACTGGGTGCTCAGGTAAATTGTTAGGTTACCCTTTATTCCTGAGTACCCCACCCATGGAATCACTTCCTAAATCTAGTTGATGCTATCATCCCTTTTTTATCTGTTCCCTTTTCTGCATCTTTGTTTCCTCTATAGAGAAACTGTTCCCTTAGCTAGTTTCTGAATTAGGTTCCATCTGTCCCTTTCTTCCTCACTGCTGTCAAAATTACCTTGAAGAACCAAAGAGCTACTTTGGTTCATCACTTCTGAAAAAGCCCCAACTTCTTTGCATGATACATAGGGAAGAGCCAGCCTCTGATGATCCTGCCCAGCCTCTTACTGAACCTTCTGGAGCCCTATGAGCTTCAGCTGAACCAAATCACTGGAATTTCTTTGAACTTCCATACAAGGCTTTGCTTTGTGTTTGTGTTGATGATTATTCATCCTTTAAGACTCAGCCTGAATATTACCTCCTTCTGGAATTCTCACACTTCATCAGTCCTACCCCCACATACTTGTCTGTGGCTTTAGCACCACATGCAGCCATCTTTACTGCACCTATTTTTTAAATGCATTTGTTTAAGTTTTAGTTATTTTAAGTAGGTTATATAGTCACATGGTACAAATTCCAGATGCCACAAGAGGTACATGTCTTGTAGTTCCTGCCCTCAAGTGGAAGAGATTATGGATACCAGCTTTTTATGTCTCCTTCTGAAGATTTTTCTAGGCATATACTGGAAAATATGTGTGTGAACACTTAAAATATTTTTTCATAATTGGTAACATCTTATATGTACCATTATATACTATGATTTTTGTCATGTAACAATATCATTTTGAAAATTTATGTATCCATGAAAACACTGACATATACATAAACACACATATGTATACACACATAAATATGTGTATTAAAATTGAGACTGAAACCATCTTGTTTCTGTTTTGGGCTGCATACTATTTCACTATATGGATAAAACAAATATTTTAACCAGTTCTCTATTACTCAGCTTTTAGGTTTTTCACAATCTTTTGCTTGTACAAAATGCAATGGGTAGTTTAGAATATGCCATTTTGCAAGATGGCAGCCTAATTTGTAGGATAAATACAGAAATTGCTGGTTAAAAAGTATGTGCCCATTTCATTTAACAAAGACATTGCTAAATTAACCAGTTCGTGAAATGACCATGCATTTTGTCAGTTTCCTCGTATGCCTCTTTCTGTTAAGTCCCATGACTGAAGGCAGCCAAGGACAGTCTGTCTTTGCAGCCACAGCAGACTGGTACATGGGGCCTACACACTCCTTAGTCAAAACATGTCTCCAATGTGCCCTTCCCAGGGGGCATCTACCTTGGCTATACTAAACTACCCAACTGCCTCTTGAGGTCCTGTCTGTTTCTTATCCAGTGTATTTTCTACTGACAGAGGAAGTGACTGCTGTCTGTATGGCACTGTGTCATTCCTGGCTCAGAGCCCATGGTACTTGGACAACATTCCAGCACCTGCTGTGACTTGTTTGGCCTGAAATGGCCCTGCCTAGCATCCCCCCATCTCTTCAGAGGCTGCGTGTCTCCTGCCATTTGGGCCTCTTTTTTCTCCCTTAAACACATCTATCTCAACTTGGGACCTATGTGAGTTGGCCCTTCCCTTCCCTAGAAGCCTCTCCTTCATTCTTTTAAGCAGCCAGATCATTCTCTCTTCCAAGTTCCAACTCAAAGTTCTATCAGGAGAGAGGCCTTTCTGGTCCCTGACCTCCAGTCAGAGGTCTTCCGGCACCTCCCAATCATGTGTCTGTGATCCTTTTTATTTTCTTGGTGGCACAGTTGATATCACAGTTTGTGGTGATCGCTTTCATGTGTCTCCCTGACTAGACTGTAAGTCCTTTGAGAGAGGGCCTCAGCCTTATCTCCCCTTACCACTGCCAGGCACTGAGTCACCTAGTAGGCACATTATAAATATTTGTTGAATGACAGATGAATGCATTTTTATTGAATGAATGAATCCTTAGAAGAAAGCAGAAGGTTCTAAGTAGGACATGCCCACCAATACATGACATTTTCCTGCATGCAGTGGTTCTCAGACTTACTGTGCATGCACATCTGGGAATCTTGTCAGAGTGCAGATGTTGGGTGCACAGGACCTCAGCATTTCCAGTCTTCAGTCATGTGGATGCA